TCTGCATTATTTATTACGCTACAAGAATATTAATTATCATCATCTTTTAACCACCCCATAATTCCTTGCGGGGTGGAGTCTGGGCAAATGAATGGAGCCAGCAGAGTGTTTAATGGCCAGATGCCCTTCCTGTCAGCAATACCTTGGTAGTACAGTGTCTAAAGCACCCTGTTATTAAGACCAGCTGCCTGCAATTACTGCAGGTTTGAATCTCGCCAGGCTCAAGGTCGATTCAGCCTTCCATCCTTTCTAAGGTAGGTAAATTGAGGACCCGTTTTGTGGGCAATAAGCTGACTTTGTATAAATATACAAAAGGATGAAGGCTATTGCTTAACACATTGTAAGCCACCCTGAGTCTCCGGAAAGGGCAGCATATAAATCAAATTAAAAAAAAAATACGGAGTTTTGTTCAGAAGAATATTAATGGAAGATTAAAACTGAACAAGTGCAGCGTATTGTAAAAAAACAAAATCATAGCTACTGGGTCTTTCAATAACTCAGATTAAGGAACAGGTACACCTCGATTTACGACCGTAATGGAGCCTACCATCACGGTCATACGTTGGGAGGGTCATAATATACAGGGACAGTTGTAAAATGACATTTTTGCAGCAGTCATTAAACAAATCGATGGTTTGCTATGGGCCGAAACTTGGAAATAGCAGTTTTTCGGCAAAACCATTGTCACATGACCACAGGATGCTGCAAATGGCATTTGGTCACATGACTTTTGGGTTGAGGGGAGGGCCTAACTATCAAAACTTTGAATCTGGGCCACAAGTAAGGTTGATCTGTCATAACTTTCAATGGTCACTGAGCAATCGGTCATAAATGGAGGACTGGTTGAACAGGCAGTCCTCAAGTTACGACCACAATTGAGCCCAAGATGTATGTTGCTAAGGGGAATATTTGTCCAGTGTGTCTGTCCCATGTGGCAACTTTTCTTGCCATGATTGTTAAGTGAATCATATGGCCTTTTTTAAAATTTCCATTGTAAAATACAGCTTGGCTTACTTACGCGAGCGTTCTGCCATTTTATTTCCCTCTCTGTCTGAGCCGGTGAGCATATCCACCCCTTCTTTCCACCACCTGGCCATCCTCCAGATGTGTGGGCCTCCCCACTTAGACCTCCCCACTGATGGAGTTAAACGGGTTGGGGTTCCACCACATCTGGAGATGGTTCAGATTGGAGAAAAACAAATATGGATGAATTCCTAGAAAAGCCAGATGCCTTCGGGATTAATTGCTGGAAAGCAGCCAAAAAGAAGAATTTTTCCATTTGATACAGCTGTGTTTTTCAACCTTGGCAACCTTACGTTGGGTGGATTTCAACTCCACATGGAGTCAACTCCCAGAAATCTGGGAGTTGAAGTCCACCCCATCTTAAAGGAGCCTTGATAGTACAGTGGTTTATGCACCCTGTTATTAACACAGCTGCTTGCAATTTCTGCTGGTTCGAATCTCTCCAAGGCTCAAGGTCGACTCAGCCTTCCATCCTTTCTAAGGTAGGTTAAATGAGGACCCAGTTGTGGGGGAATAAGCTGACTTTGTATAAAATATACAAAAGGATGAAGGCTATTGCTTAACGCACTGTAAGCCGCCCTGAGTCTCCGGAGAAGGGTGGCATATAACTCAAATTAAAAATTAAAAAAAAAAATTAAAGTTGCTAAGTTGGAAAAAAAAAAAACCCACAAAATTGTGTTCTTATTTCTACAGAAGTGACGCCATTCGCTTTCTTCTTTGGAGTTCTTGCTCATTCGCCTCGTTCATCTATCCTTTTAGAAAGCCAGATGTGATGGCTTTCTACAACTGGCTTAATCAGACAAGCATCCTAAACTTGCCTCCGCGTTCATTTCTGTAGTACGCCATACGAATGTCGCTGAGGAGTTATTTTGCAGTTCTCTATAGTGTGAGCCAGTTTTCCTATCCCAGCAGGGGGTAAAACTCCCGCCTGCATTTTTTTTTTGCAACGCAACGTATAATATTCTAGACTTCCTCTCTGTTGCATCATCTCTTTGCTACAAATACATCCACAAAGGATGTGAAATTATTTCATCGCTAGCCCCAAGTTTTAATATTACGATGGGCAGAAATAGCGTGTTGGCATTTCTGCCATTCTAGACTCCAAGCTTAATCCATGAAGAAATTAAATTATCATATTGCCACCTTCTCGTTATATCGCCTGACCTTCTCAGTAACCTTTTTCAGAGGGAGTCAATGCATGTTCCCAAAGTGGGGGCATTATAGATTTTATTGCAAGCGTTTATTGCACGCCATGCATTGGCGTGATGACATTCTCAAATGCATTTTTGAGGGGAGGTTTTTCTTTCTATTAATCCCTGTTGTGCCATTTACCTTTTTCACTTTTGGACATATTTATTTATTTATTTATTTATTTATTTATTATATTTCTATACCGCCTTTCTCCCGTAGGACTCAAGGCGGTGTACAGTCAAGAAAAATATAGACACACAAACATATAGAGGTAGGCTGGATTAAGCCTTTTTTTTTCTTCTTGGCTGCGTTTTCTTTCTTAAACCACTATTATCATATCAACTTATCTCTCAGGTTTATGAATGCTCTCTTGTTGGGGTCTATGGAGATTCTCAGTTCATCCGAGTCATGGTTTTTCCCAAAGGTGTTTTTTCAAGAGGCAACTGGACTTCTTCAGAGCTGAAGAAGCTTCTTGGATGAGAAGCGAAACGTCTTCAAAAAAAACCAGAAAGTCCTCTTGAAAAAGCTCCTTTGGGGCATCTCTCATTGAAGGTTTTCTAGAAAAGATTTGGACAACCATTTGTCTGGTATAAGGGCTCCTTGCCTTGGACAGGGGGGTTGGACTAGATGACCTTCAAAGTCCCTTTCCAGCCCTAGGATTCTTCTGCGGAATTGTCCTTTTGTCTTATTTTTGGCATTCATTCTCCGACCGAGGCAAGTGACTTGATGTCACCCCAAAACCCGGCCTCCTCTCTCAACTGCTGGCTTTAATGTTGCGAAGATTGAAAGCGTTAGTGTGTGTTGGTGTATTTGTGTGTGTGTGTGTGTGGTGCGTGCGTGGGTGTGTGGTGCATCTGTTGTGGAAACAGCCCGCGTACTAGTTCGACCCGCTTACATCGGCAAGCCTGGCGATCCGAGTTTAATCTCGGTCTGTCGGAGCGAGATCCTTTTCAGGACCCTGGACAGCTCCGCGCTTCCCAGTCGCGCCTCTTTCATTGAGCCAGTTTCTCCTTTTGCTTTCAGGGATTCGACTTCATCGCGTCCTGTGCAATTATTTAGGGGGGCAGGTTTTTTTGAGGAGGGGGAATCTGGGGGTCTTGTCTCTCTCTTGTTCCCTTTCTCTTGTTCTCTCTCTCTCTTTTTCTCTCTCTTTTTCTCCCTTCTCTCTGGATCTCTTTCTCTTGTTCTCTCTCTCTCCTGTTCTCTTTCTCTCTCGTTCTCTATCTCTCTCGTTTCTCTCTCTTTCTCTCTCTTTCTCTCTCTCCCTTTTCTCTCGTTCTCTCTCTTTCTCTTGTTCTCTCTCTTTCTTTCTTTTTTCTCTCTTTCTCCTGTTCTCTTTCTCTCTCGTTCTCTATCTCTCGTTTCTCTTTCTCTCTCTCTTTCTCCCTTCTCTCTCGTTCTCTCTCTTTCTCTTGTTCTCTCTCTCTCTTTCTTTCTCTTTCTCCTGTTCTCTTTCTCTCTCTTCTTCTCTTTCTGTCTCTCTCTCTCTCTCTCTCTTTCTTTCTCTCTCTCTCTTTCTCTCCCTTCTCTTGTTCTCGCTCTCTCTCTCTTTCTCCTGTTCTCTTTCTCTCTTGTTCTCTCTCTCGTTTCTCTCTCTCTCTTTCTCCTCTCTCGTTCTCTCTTTTTCTCTCTTTCTCATTCTCTTTCTTTCTCTCTTTTTCTCTCGCTCTCTTTTTCTCCGTTCTCTCTTGTTCTCTCTTGTTCTCTCTCTCTTGTTCTCTCTCTCTCATTCTCTCTCTTTTACTCTCTCTCTTTCTCTCTTTTTCTCTTGCTCTCTTTCTCTCTCTCTCGTTTTCTCCCTTCTCTCTCATTCTCTCTCTTGTTCTCTCTCTTTCTCTCTCTCTCTTTTGTCTCTCTCATTCTCTCTCTCTCTCTCTAAGTTGCAATCTTGATTCAAGGGCGAGAGATACTTCTGAAGCACCCTGGGGACCGAGAGCCAGTGACCGAGAGGTGAACAGGACAGGTTAACGTGCATGGTTTAGTGATTGGGAGCAGGCTAGAAAGCGGGAGACTGTGAGTTCTAGTCCCGCCTTAGCCATAAAAGCAACCTGGGTGACTTGGGGACAGACCGTCTCCCTCAGCCGACCCACCTTACAGGGCTGTTGTGGAGAAAATAGGAAGAGGAAGATGTGTTGGATGTGTTTGCTGCCTTTTTGTAAAACTAATGAGGGCGGAAATGGAGATATTTCTCTCTCTCTGGGTGTGTCTCTATCTATTTCTATCTGTCTACCCATCCATCTATCCATCTATCCATCTATAATATTGCTCCTACCGACCCCCCACCCCACCCCCGGGAGGGAGCTGGCCAGGTTCTCCCCCGCTGGATCCTCAGCCTGATTTCAACCGTAAGGAACCACCCAACCAACACTGAGCTGTTCCTTTGTAAGTCCTAGCAGCTCAGTAAAGCCTCCAGGTTCAGCAACAGTTTATCCCTGAGCGTCTTCCGACGGAAGTTCGAGGAAGGGGTCATACCTTCGTGCGCTGCTCACTGATTTACCTGGAGGTCTCTTTGGGTGGTCAAGAGACCGTTGGGCTACCCTAATCTAAGCATTTTCCCTGCCCTTCCTACCCAAGAGAGTTAGGAACTGAGCCTCCCTGGGCGGGAAGAGTCTACCTTCGCCTTTAGTGAGTTAACAAAGCGGGGGGGGGAGGAATCTCCCTTTTTTCCTGTCGGATCCAGCTCTTGGGATCGGGCGAGGACAGACGGCGCTCAGGGGCCCGCTGGCTATCACCTCTTCGTGGCCACACACACCCCCATCCCGCTTCGGACTGCCGGATCCTTTTACCTGCTTCCCCGCGGCTGCGGCCAGGGATTTCTGCAGGAACTGCCGGAGCCTGGGATCGGAGGGCGCGGCTGCCACGGTGCTCCACGCCACGGACACGGACACGAGCAGCGCCAGGGCGCAGTGGAGGCGACAAGGGAACATATCGGCGAAGCGCAGCTGGAGCGCGGTTGGATGCCTTCAGTGCTCCGGTGCCTAACGAGACCAGTCTTGGCTTCTGGGATATCCATCGGCGCCCCCACTTTATAAAGCCCTCTGCTGACGTCAAGGCAGGGGCGCGACCCCCTCCTTCTCTCCCCCCCCCTTCCCCGCGCTCCCAAAAGCGCCCGGCGTTTTGATGGCCCATTAAGCGCGCAGATCCATCAAGTTAAGGCGGAGAACTGGCCTGGGGAAAGGGGAGGGGGCGAGGGAGGAGGGGGAGGGGCAGACCCACGGGGTCGCGTGTGTGGCATCACCACGCCCCCTCCCGAATGGACTCCTTGCTCTCCCTCCACCACCACCCCACTCCACCAAAAATGCGCTTCCTCCCATAAATGTCATGGGAGAAGATTATTTCGTGATTCCCCCAAAATTGCTTTTTCGGGGACGGAGGGGGGGCTATTGCTCTGTTGGATCCCACGCAAATAGGGTTTATGGAGTGGGGTGGGGTCGGGCGGAGGAATTGAAGGCGAAACTTTCTCCAGATCCTAAAGGGAGGAACTTCGGGCTATTCCTTAAGGCTTGCGCGGCCGGGTTCAGACAACACGTTTAACTGGGTCAGAGAAAGAAAAATCTAAGCGGGCTATATTGCGCGGGATCCTAAGCTAACGCCACGGGGCAGAGTCGGGAGAATAAGCAAAGGGAAAGATTCACGGATCTTAGCGGTGGCGCATCGTGGGGACGCGCGCTTGCTAGACCGTTAAAGAGCCTGGTGGAGCCCGCGTGGGGTCGTGGGAACACAGTCACTGTGGAAACCAGCGAGGATTGGAACGGGAGTCGGCGGGTTTATTGGGATCCTTAGTAAGAGGATTTCTTCTAGAGGTAGAAAATGAGATGCGCCAGGCACGCAGAATTCCAGGATGGGAAGGCGACTACAGGATGGGGTATTCCGGGAAGCTGGGAACACGGGTGTTCACGGCAACTCCGTGGGTCGCCCCGAGGGGGGAAGGGTCCTCTCTGGTTCTTTTGTAGATTCGGATGGGAGATTTAACTGAGCTCAGAAAAGCCAAGGCAGGTCAGATCCATCCGACTGGTCTTGGAAAGAAGACGAGCTAAACTGAAGCTAAACTGAAAAAAAATAAAATAAAGAAAAATAGAGATACCACGGAATCTATAAAGCTAAACCGACAAAAAAAAATCTATAAAGCTAAACTGAAAAATAAAGAAAAAATATAGATAACCACGGAAGGTTGAAACGGCAACGTTTTTTCGCAGAGAAAACCTCCGGGTGTGTGATCATAAACTCATCCGGAATGGAGCTTGACTTAGTGGCTGGCATCTGGTTTCCTGCTTTGAGCAGGGGCTGGACTAGAAGACCTCTAAGGTCCCTTTATTCTGTTATTCTTGTTCGTTTTTCTCGATCTAGATTCTAGAATAAAGCTAAGCTGGGACTGTGCTGGGACGGCCCCTTTTTCGATCAATGGTCGTGTAGGTTAATAAATTATTATTCGCGGAAAGGGGGCCACGAGGAGATCCCAAGGCTAGGGAAGGAAATCAAATGTTTTTTTTCTTGCGCCAGCTGGGAAGCGCGGGGCGTTGGAAACCCTCAAGGGGATTCAGCCGACATTTAACCATCCTGACGCCTGCGTTTAAACCACGGTCTTCTGCTGGCTTGCTTGGGGCGGGACGGAGGGAGGATAAAAATCCGCCTTCACACGTTACGCTAAACCACGCGGCCGCGTTTCTGCAGGTTAGTGTAAAACTAGAGTAAACTCGGAGCTCGGAGCATAGGATTCATGGCTTACCAGGTTCAGGTTTATTCAATAAACCATGGTTTAACCCCCGAGGAACCCCGAGTGGGTGGGTTTATCCTGCTTGGCAGAGAGACAAAACAGATCAGATTTCTCGGGGGGGGATGCATTCGGGGGGGGCGAGGAGAAGGGGTGTCTCTTGGCTAAATTAAACCGCCTTGCTAAGGAGCTAAAACACGGGCGGCCGTTTTAAGCAGATTCCCAAAGGATCCGGGCGGTTTTGGAATCCTTCTGGGAGAGCGAACAGATCTGCAGTTCGCGAGGCGGCCAATAGAGGGCAGTTACTCCCTGCTCCCTAGCGGCCGGCAGAGCTTCTGCAGTTAGACGGGAGGGAGGGAGGGAGGAGGAGGGAGGAAGGAAGGAAGGAAGGAAGGAAGGAAGGAAGGAAGGAAGAAGAAGGAAGGAAGGAGAATATGGAAGGGAGAGGGAGGGAGGGAGAAAGGAAGGAAGGAGATGGGAAGGAGAAGAATGGAAGGAGAGAGGAAGGGAGGGAGGGAGGGAGGAAGGAAGGAAGGAAGGAAGGAGAATGGAAAGGGAGAGGGAGGGAAGGAGAAAGGAAGGAAGGAGATGGGAAAGAGAAGACATGGGTGTCAAAGGAAGGGAAGGGAGAGAGGGAGGGAGGGAGGAGGGAGATGGGAAGGAAGGAAGGAAGCAGAATGGAAGGGGAGAGGGATGGGGGGAGGAAGGAAGGAAAGAAGGAGATGGGAAGGAGAAGGAACAAAAGAAGGGAGGGAGGAGATGGGAAGGAGAAGGAAAGAAAGAAGGGAAGGGAGGAAGGAAGGAAGGAGGGAGGGAGATGGGAAGAGAAGAATGGAAGGAGAAGGAAGAAAGGGAGGGAGGGAAGGAGGGAGGGAGGGAGGAAGGAGATGGGAAGGAGAAGATGGAAGGAGAAGGAAAGAAAGAAGGGAAGGGGAGGAAGGAAGGAAATGGGAAGAAGAATGGAAGGAGAGAGGAAGGAAGGAAGGAAGGAAGGAAGGAAGGAAGGAAGGAAGGAAGGAAGGAAGGAAGGAAGGAAGGAAAATATTTCCCTTGCTTGTCATATAGATGATGTGATACTGCTGCTGTAGAACTGATTGGATCCGTAATTTTATTCATTCTACTGTATTTTTAAGATTGGGTCTCCTTCAAGTTAATGCCAGCTCCTTAGGATAGCTGTCAATTGCAGAATTTTCTCAGCAGACTAGAGGAGTGATCTCCCGGGCAGTTTTGCAAGACACGGGTGTCAAACTCACGGGCCGCTGGCCGGATGCGTCACGTGCTGGCCACGCCCACCCCCATTGTAGCAAGGGGGGAAAGTCGCAATATGTCATGTGATGACGCAAGTGTTCTAAGATGTCTAGGGAATCTCCTAGTGGCCTCCCATCCAAGACCTTAGCAGATTTTCATGATTGGGGCTGGGGCTGTCTTTGTAGCGGAGGTGGTAAATCAACCACCACAACAAAAACACAACTCACAGCACGATCACTGCATGGCTTATAAAGATTAAAACCATCATAACGATATTAGGCTGTAGTTTTATTCAATTTATGTGGTAGCAGATGGGGAATACAGGGAGTCCTTGTCTTACAACCCACAGTCCGGATCAGAATTTCCATTGCAAAGCAAGAAGGTTGTTAAATGAGTTGTGCCTGATTTTCCCATCTTTTTTGCCATGGTTGTTAAGTGAATCACACAGATGTTAAAGGAATCCAGCTTCCCTGATTGATTGATTGACTGGCTGGCTGTGGAATTCTGGGAGTTGAAGTCCACATAGGATGGCTGGGGAATTTTGGGAGTTGAAGTCCATACATGCTAGCTGTGGAATTCTGGGAGTTGAAGTCCATACATGCTAGCTGTGGAATTCTGGGAGTTGAAGTCCATACATGCTAGCTGGGGAATTCTGGGAGTTGAAGTCCATACATGCTAGCTGGGGAATTCTGGGAGTTGAAGTCCATACATGCTAGCTGGGGAATTCTGGGAGTTGAAGTCCATACATGCTAGCTGGGGAATTCTGGGAGTTGAAGTCCATACATGCTAGCTGGGGAATTCTGGGAGTTGAAGTCCATACATGCTAGCTGGGGAATTCTGGGAGTTGAAGTCCATACATGCTAGCTGTGGAATTCTGGGAGTTGAAGTCCCTAAATGCTGGCTGTGGAATTCTGGGAGTTGAAGTCCATACATGCTAGCTGGGGAATTCTGGGAGTTGAAGTCCATACATGCTAGCTGGGGAATTCTGGGAGTTGAAGTCCATACATGCTAGCTGGGGAATTCTGGGAGTTGAAGTCCATACATGCTAGCTGTGGAATTCTGGGAGTTGAAGTCCATACATGCTAGCTGTGGAATTCTGGGAGTTGAAGTCCATACATGCTAGCTGTGGAATTCTGGGAGTTGAAGTCCATACATGCTAGCTGGGGAATTCTGGGAGTTGAAGTCCATACATGCTAGCTGGGGAATTCTGGGAGTTGAAGTCCATACATGCTAGCTGGGGAATTCTGGGAGTTGAAGTCCATACATGCTAGCTGGGGAATTCTGGGAGTTGAAGTCCATACATGCTAGCTGGGGAATTCTGGGAGTTGAAGTCCATACATGCTAGCTGGGGAATTCTGGGAGTTGAAGTCCATACATGCTAGCTGTGGAATTCTGGGAGTTGAAGTCCCTAAATGCTGGCTGGGGAATTCTGGGAGTTGAAGTCCATACATGCTAGCTGGGGAATTCTGGGAGTTGAAGTCCATACATGCTAGCTGGGGAATTCTGGGAGTTGAAGTCCATACATGCTAGCTGGGAATTCTGGGAGTTGAAGTCCATACATGCTAGCTGGGGAATTCTGGGAGTTGAAGTCCATACATGCTAGCTGGGGAATTCTGGGAGTTGAAGTCCATACATGCTAGCTGGGGAATTTTGGGAGTTGAAGTCCATACATGCTAGCTGTGGAATTCTGGGAGTTGAAGTCCCTAAATGCTGGCTGTGGAATTCTGGGAGTTGAAGTCCATACATGCTAGCTGGGGAATTCTGGGAGTTGAAGTCCATACATGCTAGCTGGGGAATTCTGGGAGTTGAAGTCCATACATGCTAGCTGGGGAATTCTGGGAGTTGAAGTCCATACATGCTAGCTGGGGAATTCTGGGAGTTGAAGTCCATACATGCTAGCTGGGGAATTCTGGGAGTTGAAGTCCATACATGCTAGCTGGGGAATTTTGGGAGTTGAAGTCCATACATGCTAGCTGTGGAATTCTGGGAGTTGAAGTCCCTAAATGCTGGCTGTGGAATTCTGGGAGTT